ATGCGCCGTTGAAATGTAAACTCTGTTTACGAAAACCGTAAGTTTAGTATCTTTTATTGGGATTTAAAGATGTATTCAGTTGGGTATTAGAGGGAACGGAGCGGTGTCTCTTAGGGAATAAGGTCGTAAGTTGAAAGTCAGGGTTTTTGTGAACGCACCGCCGCCGCCCGTAGAGATGGGACCGCCAAATATTGCGGCCCTTATTTATGTCCACTTGAAGTTCGTCGTACTACGGCCACATCTTTTTTTGCAAAACACTACGCGTCGAAGCTAGGATGGGACGATTCAGCCAAATTGGATTTTTACAAGACCAATGGAAGCGTACTTTTTTTAAACAACGGGGTAAAATTTACTCTAAACGTACCTAGCCGTACTTTTTTAAAATGTAGGCAGTACTTTTAGAAAGTTTTCAGCCACATTGGTGATCTCTATTATTTAGAAATCAAAGTAAACCCATATTAAAAAAACAATAAAATAAAACAATAATAAATATCTACACAGTCCTCTAAATAAAAATATTGTCTGATATTTAATTGAACGCGATCCAAACCATTAGCACCATTAAGCGAAACACTTAGCCAAGCCATTAAATGTCCCCTACAAGCAAAGATATCGATTATATACCTCCTACTTATTGTTTCCCCTTAAGTCAACGAAACATATTCGTATTATGTACCTGTGTTCTTCGAAGTGGGTCTTATAGAAGGCCCCGACATATTTACATAATTATCACCAAATCATTTGAATACAATGCGATACAACTTGTGTTCAGAATGGCGAATCTGATAGGTAGGTAAGTAAAGGAAGTTGTACCTACAAGTTTCTGTGTAAGAATATTTGAATTCACTTTCTGTGAATTAGACAAGTTGTCCACCCATTAGTAAGTTTATAGCACATGTCTTCGCTTTGTGATGTGATTGTGTGAGTGATATTGATTACTTACGCATTGACTTTTGGTGAGTTGTCTCCATCGTAGCCTATATATCAGCTTTTCTTATCGCACATATTTTTTGCATGAAAAACATAGTAAGACATCCAATTTATTTCCTATTTCCTTGTTTCCGTGGAAGAAGGGGTTACAAATAGAACCACTGTCAGTCTTACAGTGCTAATAGGATTTTGCTCCTTCACCCTTTCCGTCATACGCGGATATAGAGGGTTTTAGGTATTCTTTACCTTAAGGCTGGTCGGGATTGCGGTGCCGCCTCTGATTACCGTTCACCCTTAAAAGCCTGCGTAAGCTGGGTCTGGTTTGACAAGGATTTACGAAGAGATTTTCTTGATTGGATGATGCTCTTACTCTGCTGTCTATTAGTTTAGCAAATTCTTAGGTAAATCATTTTCAGCATTTTCTTTAACAAATTTATTTGGTGTCGTCACAAGATGTTTTTCCTTTAAATTCATTCCATCCCTATCAATAGCCAAAGTATAATTATAAAATCCTTTCAAAAACTCTCTATTAATACTTCACGTTCTTTTCTAAGCCTTCCGTCATACTCCCTAAATCTGTTGCACAGTAAATTTATAGCTTAGAGTCTGTTGTCTGATCTGGCCTAGATATTTTTATCTACTTAATATAAGTACATTAATTTTTTTGTAGTTATGTCATTATACCTACACCATATCCACACCTCTACAACGGGCTCATTAAATACTACTGTAGTTTTTACATGTATAGGTATTTGTGCGAGATGTGATGGTAAGCGTGTGAGTTTAGTGTTGACTTTCAGGTTGAGTGTCCGTTCTTTATATAGTTCTACATGCTATTGGCTAAAGTTCCATATTATCCAAAAATATTCGTACATCGCAAGCATATTAAGGTGGCAATGCCCTACCGAAGTGCGAAGGATTAAAATCTCGATATTAGGCGCGGATGTCGCGCTCGCACCCTCCTTATTAAACGCAATAACTTCACTTGTTTCCTTGTTAACTTGCGTTTTCATTTCGCCTACACGCCGTTTTGATTGCTTTACATTTTGTTTCATTTGATTATTGCTTTGATCAACTTTCTTTGACGTCTTTTGAAATACTTCGATCAATTTGCATTTAACAAACTGGAATACGTTTCGATACAAAAATACCTGACGGGTGCGGTGTTAGTTATAGGTACGTTGTGTTGAACCAAATTGCTTTTTAGGCATACTCAGATCATAAAACAGAATAACTTGCCCTTAGAAACAAATGTTAGGAAACGACAAAACTTTGTCCATCTAGACATTTCGATACTCCTTACAGAAAAGAGAAAACCGTACAAGAAACAGATTTATTTTCAAATAAAGAAACACATTCTTCCCACATATCAAAACTACGAGCTTATCCGGTAGCGCATATCCATTACTATCGGTGGGTTACTATCACTAAGGTGTGGGGACACGAAATAATAACCATAAGGTAAGACTGAAGACATCTGGGTAAGTGCATTCGGTCGTCCAATCACCTGCAGGGTCCACTCACGACACGGTCGGTAATGCACCGAATGCAGTGGTTCTCAAACTGTAACCAGTGACCCACAGTGGGGGACACAAAATATTAACCATAAGGTAAGACTGAAGACATCTGGGTAAGTGCATTCGGTCGTCCAATCACCTGCAGGGTCCACTCACGACACGGTCGGTAATGCACCGAATGCAGTGGTTCTCAAACTGTAACCAGTGACCCACAGTGGGGACACGAAATAATAACCATAAGGTAAGACTGAAGACATCTGGGTAAGTGCATTCGGTCGTCCAATCACCTGCAGAGTCCACTCACGACACGCTCGGTAATGCAGCGAATGCAGTGGTTCTCAAACTGTAACCAGTGACCCCACAGTGGGGACACGAAATAGTAACCATACGGTACCCGACTGAAGACATCTCGGTAAGTGCATTCGGTCGTCCAATCACCTGCAGAGTCCACTCACGACACGGTCGGTAATGTAGCGAATGCAGTGGTTCTCAAACTGTAACCAGTGACCCACAGTGGGGGACATGATATTAAACCGACTGAAGACGTCTGCATAAGTGTATGCGTTCGTCCAATTACATGCTCAATAGACTTAAATAGACCTTGTCGTAAAGTGCATCCACACTTTACGACAAGGTCTATTAAACTACTTTTCTGAATACTTAAAATGTTGAAGTATATTGCAGAAACATGGCGGAAAAGGAACATGGTTACTTATAAAAAAACTCAGAATTTGAAAACCACTTTCCAGAATAGTTATTAAGTTTCATTTCTGCTTTAGTAACAACTTCGATGAAATTAAAATTCCAATCTCACGTATCCCCTGGCAACTCAGATCTAAAATCCGTGACGTTTGAACGTAGTGAGACACCCCAAGCTGTCCCATTAGTGGCGCAAAGTTTGGGATCCTCTGGCCTAACGTATTCTGTCTTGTGCACAGGATGTTGCTCATACCACAGCGTACAGGATATACCATTGGAAGTAAGGCGTTAGAGGATATGATACGTAAAGACCACCTTTTAGAACCGAGGCAAAATACTGAATATATAAAAAAATAAATGAATTTGAATTGCAATGAATTTGCGATGTGCTTAATTGTACCCAAAAATGAATATATAAACTAAACTTGTCCCTCTGCGAGAAGATTCTAATAGTTTAGAATTTTTAATTTAAATGCTAACCTATACCAACTATTACCAACGTAAAATTTACAGAGCTCAATCATTGAAGTAGAGACACAAAGACACACACTACCGTTACTTATAGGTACTTATAAGACATGACTTGCCTTATTTATAGTAGTAGCATGTCTATTAGTAGATGCCTGTGTGAAAGTTCTGTTATAGATATCTCTCAATTATCAAGGGAGTCATAGTCGAGAGAATGGAAAGAATGTTAAGTAATACAATATAAATACGTTCAAAGATAACTGTGATAGTAATTTGTAACTGCAGTTGAAATATCTTAATCATTAAGAAGGTAAATGGACCGAGTTTAGATAAGTGTTATTTTATTCAACTATTCTAATTAAAGATTTGAAAAAGTCGAATCTAGTCAAATAAGTTTGCCATGAATATATTACTTATGTATGGTGTCTGTAAGTAGAAACACGAAAGTAGGTTTACAAAAGCCAAACATATTTTTTACGAAAGGACCACCTTTTGCTAAAACAAATTTTGTGTTTACCTAGCCGAAGAGAAAGTACAAAAATATCTCTACGCAGAAAACTAATTAGGGATAAGAAATCATCGTGATAAAGGGTCCCATAGCTCGCAGGGTTCCGTCATTTCTTTTCCCTGAGTGGTTCCATGGGAAGTTCTCACAATGGATTCGTTTTTCCGAGGCGAGGATTTGAAAATCTCAGGAATAGTCAAGATGGAACTCTAAAAACAAAAAATTGAGCCCCATGATTCCACTCCCATCCACTTTAAGCTGTGGTTTTTAAAACACCCATTAAATAAATCAACCTATACATTTGTTTTCTTAATTCATAGGAAAAAGCATATTCAGCATTACAAATGTATAAATAATTATTTTATCTTTTTAATATTTATTTGACAGTGCTTCCACTGTTTAGATTTCAATGGCTGATTTTCAAAATTATTAAACAGCCTTTTCCAACAAAACTATTTTCTAACAACGCGTAGTTTCATTCTGCCTCACATTCTTCTCCAAACACGTCCGTCTACATCTTTTCACTCAAACGGGTTGATAAGATGATAAGTGGTGGGCTTTTAACGGGCGGCTCGGGAGCGGTTAATACTGCAGGTATCTTAGCTACTAGCAAGAATTGGAGTAAGTAAGGTAAATGCAAGCAATCAGACGTTATGATACCTATGTATACTTACTTTGGTATAGAAGTAGGACGATGTATACTGTTTCGGAAAATATCTATAGAAAGCTTTTTAACTTTTAATTGTTTTTCTCACAAGAAGTTGGATGCACAAGCTAAATGTGGCCATAAAATATTACCCACGCTTCTACCAAAATGAAATTGGTGCATATTATACACGTTTACGTATTTAATAATAAGGTGATTCACCAGGGTCCGCTACGCGCCCGTAGCTCAGTTGGTAGAGCGGTGGAACGGTGATCCACAGTCCCGGGTTCAAGTCCCGGCATTCGCTAGTGAATTTTTCAATTTTCTCATTTTCAATTTATAATAATAAGGTGAATTATGCCGTTATTGAATTATGACTATGTTTAAACCACTTTAAAATAAATTAAAACACAAAATTGATTTAGAACACTATTAAGCTAAATGATGGTATGTAAGCACCCACAGTAGTAAAAGTTTATGTCAGTGTACGACAAATCAAATACCGATACTACCGACAGACATAAACGACAGACGGACACCTATGTGTACGAATGCTAGTTTTATCGTTGCCTTAAACACATACGAGCCATTTCAAGTAACTGTGTGTGATGTAGAGACTAGAGATTAGTGAAGTGAAAATACCTACTAAACAAATCACACATACAAAAACACTCGCTCATTTTTCTTTGTACCTTCAGGAAGGAAAAAATACCAGCTAATATTTTAAGAGATACAAATTGACTCACTTGGCTGGGACATTGGTACTATCTCTAGCAAATCCACCTACTCATTTAAGGAATTTATAGTGGTTTTTCTTAGTATTTGTACGAAAAACCAAGTTCTAAGTGGTTTCACATTCCTATTGTTGTTCAGTTTCATGAGCTAGTTCGCCACTTAAAATATTTGCAGATATTTTTTTACACATTATATGGCCAGGGAGACCAATTAAATGAATTTATTTGTAGGTAAATTGTAAAGTTTCATGACAATAGGTTCAATACTGACAACGTTTTTGAGGCAAAACATACGGACGGTAGGACTGTAGTAGGTACTTAATATGGACACATACATACACAGTAGGCGAAGTTATAAAGATTTCTAGTTAACTACAAAAGTAGTATCTTCAAAATGAGTATAAAAAAAATTATAATGATAATTTCCTTTTAAATTTAAAATTCCATATCACTTGGCAGTGTTTGCACATCTTTAGCAGAAATATCCCTGTCGGTCTTAATCGTCACTCGGAGTGTGTTATGCTAAGTGACGGTCAAAAGCTGTTCCGAACTGATATCGCCAACTTTAACATGTTTTATTATGAAGTTTTTAGGTACATTACAAAATGTGTATAAAAATTACATTGATAATGATAATTTCCATTTCAATTTTAAATTCCATATCACTTGGCAGTCTTTGCACATCTCTATCAGAAATATCCCAGACGGTCTTAATCGTCACTCGGAGTGTGTTATGCTAAGTGACGGTCAAAAGCTGTTCCGAACTGATATCGCCAACTTTAACATGTTTTATTATGAAGTATTTAGGTACATTACAAAATGTGTATAAAAATTACATTGATACTGATAATTTCCATTTCAATTTTCATATCACTTGGCAGTCTTTGCACATCTCTAGCAGAAATATCCCAGACGGTCTTAATCGTCACTCGGAGTGTGTTATGCTAAGTGACGGTCAAAAGCGGTTCCGAACTGAAACTTTAACATGTTTTATTATGAAGTATTTAGGTACATTACAAAACGTGTAGGTATAAAAAAATACTTTGAAAAAGATAATTTCAATTTCAATTTAAAATTTCATATCACTTGGCAGTGTTTGCACATCTCTAAATATCCCTGTCGAGACGCTCTTAATCGTCACTCGGAGTGTGTTATGCTAAGTGACGGTCAAAAGCTGTTCTGAACTGATATTGCCAACTTAAACATGTTTTATTATGCAGTATTTACATTACAAAATAAGTATAATAAATTACTTTGATAATAATAATTTCCATTTCAATTTAAAATGTCATATCCCTTGGCAGTCTTTGCACATCTCTATCAGAAATAGGTATCCCAGACGGTCTAATCGCCTCACGAAGTATGTTATGCTAAGTGACGGTCAAAAGCTGTTCCGAACTGGTATTACCAACTTTAATATGTATCACTCACTATGCAGTAAGTATTTAAACAAACTGATATTGCCTGCTGCATCCATTATTGTACAGTAAATAGAATTTCAATAGAGTTCTAATTGACGGTCAAACTGGTATTGCCAGGTGCCAGCTTCATACATTATTATGCACTAAATAGAATAAAAATAAACTATCCCAAACTGCTATTGCCTGCTTTATGCATTATTATGCAGTAAATAGAATTGAAATAGAGATCGAAAATAAACATAGACTCGTAATTACAACCGGTGCTCTTTGAAGCTTAATACGACGCGTGCTCAGTTTTAATCAAGCAATTTTTTTAAAATAAATTAATAAATGTCCTAGTTAGTATTAGTTTCAATACATTTTAATTCACTATGCAGTGTTTTGCGTAGCCAATGTGGCATATAAAATGAAAATAATAAAACTCTACATTCAACAAAAAACATTAATTAGGTAGCTTTAAGACGGAGTAGAACCACAAAATAGAGAGTATACAGAAAATTCACTCGGCCCTATTTCGGATTTTAGCGGCCCGTGCACCGTTTCCCTAATTTGTGGTAGAATACGTAGGTAGACGTACTTATTAAAAATCTTACAGACAGACAGAAACACTTCATTGCTCACATTAAAACATGACATAAACAAGAACAAGTCCTAACAAAATGATACAAGGCGGCCTTATCGCTTTCAGCGATCTCTTCCAGGCAACCCAGCATGGCAAAGAACCACCTACCTTGACCATGTTCAAACTAATTTCACGCAAATTACAAACTTTAATTACTTCTTCACTCTATCTTTCTAATTTGGAGCCGTTAAAAGGCCCACGTCCCAACTGCGAGCCAGATTTAACACAAAGAATTTATATTTAAAAGGGTCCCGATAAGGAAAAAAATGGGGAAAGCTGCCCCATTGTACTACCCTCATGTAAAAACTGGGCCAATGGGGAACGGTTATCCCTTACAATGGATTTTTTTCTACCAATCGATACGGTTTCACAAAATGGCAGCCGGGTTGTTCTATTTTTGAAAATCGGGGTTTGAATTTGGAATTTTTGATCAGTCGCGTTTGGGTGTTGAATTAAGACTAAACTTACTATATGACAGACATGTTTAAAATTTGATCACAGGATAGGTAGGCTAACAAAATATCATACCTATGGCCTGTGTTACTAAGTAGTAGTTTCTCAATGACGAAGTAATGTAAAATACCTACTTGTAATGTAATATAGTGAAAAAAGTAATAACACTCCTATTTTACCTTCATAACCTTAAAAAAATAGATATAAAATATTGGTGATACCTACCTACTTGTCTTACGTCATATAAATAATCCGTTGCATGTGAAAGTCAATAACCAAACAGAAGGCAAAGACCTCATGACTAATATCAATCACTAAAATATCTACACACACATACATAGATATTGCTCTAGTATATTTCAGAAGTTTATGAATTATTACCTATAAGCTAGAACTAGACAACAATATACAGTAAATGTCATCTACTTGTTATGAAACTTGTCGCTTCAAATTTCTCATAATCATAAATATAACCGATCTAATAAATTAACTTTAGAAACGTACTCGTAAGCAAGCAAAGTGTAAGAATCACAACACGACTCTTTAAAACAGTGCATAGTAGCTCCATCTATACTGCAACTGAAGTCAACTCACGCACACAATGAAACTCCTAGGCGTGTTTACACAAAGAATACAATGCAACACACACAAGGAAAAGTTTCGCGTAGACGCTACGCTCGTAGCTACACCATTGATAACGTAGCTTGTGTGCGTAGCGTCCGTGTCTACATTGAATGTTTACGCGCGGTGTGTCAAAGTGTGGGTGAAACGTAACACTCACACCTAGAAAGAGAAAAGTTTCTTCTCAAAGAAGTGCATGGTAGCGACATCTAGTCAGAACAGGTGGAATGAAAAGGCGAGGCTTCTCGGTCAGAAGTAGACAAGTGAATTTTCTTATATGACTGAAAATATATTTTTTGTAATCAACTGGGGTTTTCTTGTTAGATTGAACGCCAATTGGACTCTTTAGTTAATTAAAAAATATTAAAGTTAAGCCTCCACATTCGACTATGATTGGTATGAATATTAAAGAAATTACATGAAAAGTTGTAAATTAATTAAATTCAATCTCTGCTTTACTACTTCAATATTATTGAAGGCACGGTTCATAACGCGTATATTCTGCCTCAATATTGCAAAAGCACCTTGACCGTGACACTACAAATAGTTTTCACTTACGTCTTTCTACTCTAGCAGCGTGGCTTAAAATAGAGCGCTTTATCAAAGACTTCCTTCGCGTAGCTAGATTGGAGTTATTTGAATAAATTATTTGTATCAAACCCGATATATTCAAGGATATCGGTATAAATGATTTGCATTCGTGAATTATCACTTTTTCTATCAATACTCTGGCGGAACTGTTTTGTTTGTTTGACTAATTAGGTAAATTGTCCATTCTGCTCTTTGAAATTTCGTGTTTTTGTACTTGTACCTTCTCAAAATAATTGCCTTATTCTTTGATGAGACTATTCTCACATTATAATAAGCCTGCGTTTGTTAGTTTAGATTGCTAATTAAGATAATTATAATGTTCATTATAAAAATTTGTTAGCTTCATATTTTAATTTTTTTATCTGTTCTGAATCGTCTTAAAAATATAATAAAGGCACATTTGACGTCACAATAACCTGCTGAATTTAGGAAAATGTTTGTTTATTTCAATTGAATTGTTCTCATCATATCAGCAAAATTATAAACAATGCAAAATGTCCGTTTGACCTCTCTTCGAGTGAAATGTGTCATAACTTTAGTATTTTACGATGTGCATATGGGTCAACTCTCTTAGGCTGTATGATGCGCGATGCCGTTGCCTTGCGAAACTTTTGAACTTTTAAAAAGGTCAAACACTGTTCGAATTTCAAATGAGTTATCGATGCCGTTTGTACTCTATTTTTGGGCATAAATGTATCGTCATCACCGCGCCTTGTTTTAAAGTACTGGCTCTTAATGTAGAGTTCAAAATTGCGGCTGGTTGCTACGTATTACGGCGACCTTCAGTAGACGTGTTCAGTTCAGTATCCATTGAAGTTTTATTTCTGTTTCACGTACAACATGTTAAAGAAACAACGCAGTCCAA